GATTACTGGCTAAATTAGATTCCATATGCCCCCAAGCGACGGTTTCCAAATAAACTACAGGCGTGGGGGAGAGCAAGAGGCAGACAAGAAGAAAGGGGATATGAAGATGGGTAGCGGTGAAGGACATAGAAAACAACACTGAAAACAAAGAGGGTTGGGGTATCACTGCCTTCAGCGTAGGGGAGTAGTAGCATGGAGGGAGGAGAAAAATACTCACACAGTTATAAATAACGCTTTGTATAATTTAAAAGGAACAGAAGGATTGAGCTTTCCAAAACCAGGAACAGAGAATGTGTGTATTTATATCAAAACATTTTCAACTGGACTGCACACACACGTCACAGCCAAATAAAGTCCTGGTTTATTTTCTTCCTGACGAAGTCTTTTGAAGTTCTACATCTGTATATGGAAGGTTTATTCAAGGATGCATCTGTATATGTGTGTTGTGATAAACAGCGAGAGAAAATGGAAGGGAGAGCCAGATAGTGTCAGACAGATATGTAGATTAGAGCTGTAAACCCAGCACAAAAAGACGACTAAAGTCCTCAAAACGTAGCCAACAGCCACATGCTGTCAAAAAGCTAAAAGTCTTTCAAACATACTTCCTACAAATTAGGTCAAGCAAAAGAAAATTAGAATGATTTGGCCATGCAATTCATTATTTTACTTCCTGGATGCCTGGACTAAGCTAAGGGGCAAAGTTTTAATTGACTGCTCAACAGCAAAAACAAAGGAAATTTATTTCTCTTTGGCATTAAAGCACAGCGCTTTCAGAGTAAGCCAAGAAATACCACAATCATTTTTTAATTGGTCTCCTCATATATCACACTTACGTGAGAAAATAGGAAATCTTGTGTTTGTCCATTTCATCTTCCATGCAGAAAAAGCGGGTACGATAAAAAAGCAAACAAGTGAATGAGTATGATCGCACTGACATAAAAAAACAAGGGACCATACCTTGCACTGCACACGCATGTCTGCGAAAAAAGCATAACACTACTTGTTTATAAATTATAATTTAGTTCTCCACTGTAACAATAGAAAAATGGCAAATTGCCTGAGTTTCAAAGTGAATGTTAGCAGACTGCTTATTATTACAGTATTTCAGTTGGCCTAGTGTGTGCACGTGTGGTGTGTGTGTGTGTGTGTGTGTGTGTGTGTGTGTGTGTGTGTGTGCGTGTGTGTGCGTGTGTGCATGTACATGCATATATACAGCCTACTCTTCCACCCAGTATTTACAGTGCAGCAAGGTGGAGTGCCATTCAAAGTGCCCAGGGTTACATATCTCTTATTCATAGAACAACAATAACAACACATCTAATACCAAGGAGCAGAATCTGTTTTAAAAAAGAGCAAGAGGCAGGGAGAGAGAGCAACAGAGCAGGAGACCAAAAGCATGAGAAACAGAGAGAGTGAGAGACGGTGTAAGAGGGAGGGGGCATCGAAGTCCAGGGAACAATGTCTGTTTTTAACACAGCTGAACAAATCGCTCTGAAGCATCCACTTATATACTAAATACAGCATCGACCACGGGGGACACATGAGTCACTGATGGAACAGGTGACACACTAATGGTGAGTGAGTGTGCATGAGTGTGAGAGCAGAGGGTAAGTATCAAAAAATAACGACGAAAAAAAACACACACGCACCTTTAAACCACATGAACTCATAAAGTGAAGTAGAACGGACAGACAGCAGAGACACTCGAGAGACAAACAGGTTGGAGCCCCTTTCTTCATATTGGCTGTTTTAGCCACTCTCCTTTATACATTAACTGTACCTGTCCAGAGGAAATCACAGACGCAGATAATGCACAGACCTCACGGTCAACTGTTCATTCACTGAAACTCTCTTTTTTTCCTTTTTTTTCCCCCCAACCAAAGAAATTACTCAATCACGACTATTTGCAGCAAGGTCTGTGTATTGTCCAGTGTAATTGTCCTGTATCCAGGGACGCTTTATTTTTTTGCTAATGTGTATTAACAAAAAACGTTTAAAAAAAAAGATTTCTTCTCACTGTCTCAATGTCCATATCGTCCTTAGATATTACCAGATCCAGACATGACTGTGCTGTCCTTGTTGTTTGCCATGTATTTGGTCCATATAAACAAGCACTTTATCTCAAGAAGTAAGCTACTGATAAATGCTACTTGGCAACAGCATGATGTCAATTAGAAAAAAAAACAAAACAACATGCACAAATCCTACTGTGGCTTT